AAAAATTTGTCTAGTTAACTCATGGATAATTAGAAGAATGAACACACTGGCCGATTTTTCCATAAATTCTATTAATCAAGAATGTACAGATAGGGGCTGGGGATTTAACTCAGCGGCATAAGCGCCTGCCTTGCAAGCAGGCAGTCCTGAGTTCGATCCCCAGTACAGATAAAAAGGAAAAAGACAAAAAAAAAAAAAAAAAAAAAAAAAAAAAGAATTTACAGATTTATTTCTGTGGAAGTGTACTCAGCCGGTGCATCCCATACATCTCTACACTTTCAGCTATTCTGGGAGCTCTTTCTTGTATGCACTGATTTCCTTGCCACTTTCCTGTCCTCTTCCCTCTGAAAGGGTCAAGTTCTTCATTGTCACTGCCAATCATGGAAAAGAAGTTAAAAATCACATTGTTAATTAGTTGCCATGCTATACGCACCTCAGAACTCTTATTACAGGAAGTTACTAACTTCATGCTACTACAGGAAGGCTTTCTGTCCAAATAGATCCTTGAGTGCAGCTCTGCTTGTGCTTTCCTGAGAAAAGAATGAGTCCGTCTTTGTAGCTTATCATGAGGGTGCCCCAGTGCTCACTGTTGGCCCCTGAAAGAACTGGTGAGCCCTAGTTCTTCCACCCAAAGTCTGTTTCCCTCACCACACATTTATTCTCCCAGAAAACCATGGGAAGCCTACTTTCTCAAAGGACTGACTACACAGAGAACACCAATTTCAAAACAGACTGTCATCATCATTAACAAACATGATGGCAATAACAATGGTGAATGCTTAGTAAATATGAGAGTTTCCTGAATTTTAGACACATACTATCTCATGATCACACTAATTAGGAAATCCAGCTTACCATGTTGGATTTGATATAACGAAGCACTAATTTACAAGTGAAGTATTCAAGAAATCTATCTTCTGACAGCTGAGCCAGTGCAGGCTACTGCCATCCAAATTCTCTATACCTCTGGGGACATTCAACATTCGCTGGGGTGCAATCTGCTTTTGGTTGTGAGCATGGATTCTTCAAACCTCACAAGGTTTGCATGAGCTAAGTCCAGTGGATATATCAATAAATGGAGCAGAGGAAGAGGCAACAGGTAACTGCCCCTCAGCACTACCTCCAAAAACCGCACATTCCTGGGTACACAGGATTACTTTTCACTCCTGCTATGCGTCCAACACCTATCAGTTGTCACCAGCTACAAGTCATCTTCATTCTTTAACACTGGCTAAAAAACAAGCCCTGATCTTGAACACTGTCAGGCTTTGTGCCAGACAGAAAAGAAAATGAGGTAGAGTCCTGCAAACATTTTTAGCATGTTCACTCTGAAATGATAGTGACACAGGTCACACCTGCTTATATTCCTCTGACCCCACCAGATGTAGAACAAAACAAGGAGCCAGTATATATTTTGAACAGCGTGTGATACGGGAAAAGTACGAGTGGTGGAAGGGTTTGTAAAAGGCCAATCAAAGAATAAGGCCTGGAATAAAAATACACTGAGGTTTATCTTCATTTCTCTGGGTTGTCACATGTGCATTTGTAAAATGGGGCACTAATGACCCAATGCTGCCAATTTCCTCACAGATGTATTTAATCGTCAGAAACTACACCAGGTATAACAGGCATTGGAAAATTCACAACACTCTGCAGTAAAGGTCTTGGCATTCAAGGCTATTCGTAGTAGTGAATATACATGGCAGAATCTAGAGTGCAAAGGACATCACAGTATTCTTATTCATCAAAATAACTTCTTACTGCAGGAAGACGGAGTTTACAAGATTATATATTTAGACTCCAAATTAAAGAAGAAAGACCACCAGTAGGACCCAGAGGTTACTTCTCATTTAAAATAATGGGTCAGAAGCTATTTAAGAGCAGGTGGTTGAAAATGTCACCACACAGAGAAAACGCTCCTGCTCATCAGGTTCCCAAAATACTGAAATTCAACTAAGAGCATCTTCAAAATAAGGACAGTTCCAGCTGGAAATTGCAAGGGCAAAAAGAAGCAGCCTCCTGTGAATTGTATCATCGCCAACAAAAGTTCTTATTATTTCCCATTGATTGGCCAGGAGCTCCGCTATCTCCTCTCTAGCAGCTTCTACAACAATCTCTGTGGAGCGGGAGTCCTTAATACACCACAGCTCTGCAACTACCCTAGGAAATTAAGAAAATTGAAAGCCTTTTTGCTTCTTCTTGCACTAACATCCCAAATAGGCTTTTCAAGATAGCCTGGACAATGCAAGTAATCTTTTGTTCTAATTTGCAAACCAGTCTTGTTCATTGGGATTTAATAACATGGGCCATTTTCGCTCCATTCACACAGGGTAAAAAACAGCTTGCATGAAGCAGTCTCTGAATTATCTAGTTCTCTTTAGGTTAGGGTGAGCCAGAAAGACCAGGCTTTATTTCTCACCTCTAAACCTGACAGATTACTCCAGAGGGCATTTCTTAAGACACAGCTAGGAAAACGGTCACAAACTCACTTTCACCATTAAAAATGTAAGGTAATCCCAGCTTTTGCCACCCCTAAAAGCCACTCCTGTGTTTTTCTGTTGCTGCATCCCGATTTGGTTCACACAAAGGACAAAGATCACTTGCTGTCAAGAAAGACAAACTACTCCCGCTCTGCAGCATGATAAGTTAGCTCAAGCCAGTAGTGGTCATTTCCTTCCTTTTCCCCAACACTGGTCTAAGAGTGCAGTGAACACGGGAATTTAATCCAGATCTGAAAATTAAAACAGGCCAAGCTTTCTGTGCATGATAGAGATGGGCTGTGGAGCCTTGCTCCAAAAGAATCTTTCAACATAAAAAGACAGAACTCCATGTAGGGAGATTTATGCATCCTGATCCTTCTTTCCTTGCTTGCTTGGGATGCTGCCAGGCCTCAGCATGACTGTGCCTACAGCAGCCACTATGCAATCAGGGGACATGCTCCAGATGGCAGGGTGAGGGAGGAGGCATCTGTTCCCACTGGAAATGCAGATTCCATTCCATTTTCAGAGCTGCTCCCCCTGGGTTTCAACCTTGCTGTCCTCTCTGAGCTCTGTTCACTGGAAGAACCCAGTCATTCAGCAATTTCTCCTCAGGGGCCACCTGTGAACAAGTGCACTTGTAGAAGGTCTCCAGGAAAATGGAAAGATGACTGATGTCCACACCCATCACCATCACCCAAGGAAGCACCAAGACACAGACCGCCAAGATCCAGTGAAGATGCTGAGCTAAGTGGAAGCTCGTGCAAGAAGAGTGACTCAGACCTAAGGCCACTCAGCACAGTATCACAAAGGCTCCCATAACGGCAAGTTTAATGTCACAGGGGCTGCTCTTAGAGCTGAGTCTGAGGGGGAAAACAATGGAGGAGAACAGAAGCAAAGAGAATTAGGGTCAGCAATTATCTCCCCCATTCTTCCAGGGTTCCCTAGCTCAGGAGGGCCAGGAATGGGGTGCACTGAATCCCCTGGACAGCTAAAGGGTCTGCCGGTGTTCATGAAACCAAGATCCCAATTATTTCCATGTTCTTGACATCAGTATTATAATTATTCAAATCCATCTCCACAAAAAGCAGAAAGTAGGAAAGTAAGCTTTTTAGATCATAGGACCCTCCCTGGCAGCATTTTTTTTCCCATGGTTAAAAAAGGACAGACTGCTCATAAGTTACTTTTTCTTATAATGACTTAAATTTTCTGCTAGAAAACTGTGAAAGATAAAATTTTAAAATAGACTTTAATATGAAGTATTCAAACTTACAATCCACTCCCCCCAAATTAACAAAGCAGTAACATGATACTAAAGGGTAGATAAAAAGGTTCATGTCAAAGAGCAGCTTCATTCTCTAATCAACTTTACAACTAGAAAGTAAGCAAAAGGATAAAAGAAAGAAAAGGAAAAAGTGTTAGAGTACTGCTAATTAAAAGGAAAGCATAAATTAACAGTATTTCTGAAGCTATGAAAACAACCAACTACCAACCTGAGAGGCAAATAGATACATTTCCTCAACAACTGCTAGTCTTTAGCCAAACCCAAAAAGTTAACCGAGGAGAAAGGACATAGAAGTGAAGAAGGGAAAGGAGTTTACTTACTCTTACCGGCAGAGATCACTGCTATCCTTACCTTGGGAACTCTCAATAACAGCTTCAGAATCAAATGCTTGTGGAGCAGTGACCAGATTAACTCAAGAGAGCTACCTCCCCAATTACCAGATCACCATGGCTTAGTATTTAATTAGTGACAGTAAAAGGAATGACCGCAATGATAGGAACTGGGACAGGAAGTGTCCAGTCATCCCCTTGCCTGGTAGAAGTTTTCTAATCTGATGGGGGAGAGCCAGAGGGCACCCAGGAAAGGGTGGGCTCAGATGTTACAGCAGCACCCCTACACAGGAAGAGCTAAGCCATACCTCTGCCATATTAAAGGAGCAGGGCACATGGCGCCCACCACCAAGCTGAGTTTGGAAAGAGCTGTTCACATGCAACAGAGGAGTTTCTCTGCCCTGTGGAGTAGACAACTGCATCGTAGAAACCCAGTGTAATGGCGTCATCCCAGGAGCCAAACTCATTACTGTAATAGAGATTCTCAAAGATCTGTAATGGACAGCACACGAATCAGTCATTAAGAAATCCAGCTGAAAAAACCCTGACCTTGACACCTGGAAAAGATGACAGCTGGGGTTAAATAAATGCCAAATGCTATTGGCAAAGAATCCAGCACAGGGTACATAACTGAACTTGGAGATTACCATCTCCTCAAAACTGAAAGTGGAACCCACGTGTTAGGATCATTCTGGTCAGAAGACACAGTGCCATATGGGATGTGCTGAGCCCCTGCGTTCCTCACCGACTTACAGGATCTTGTTCTTTCAGGTGAGGTAGCCTGGATAAAGCCAGGGAACAGAGCACCTGGAGTAACATAGGGTGTCTGTAGGAGTCCCCAGGAACAAAGGCCAGCGATGGCTTTTAGTCTTTAACCCCATCTCTCAGGAGCCTGTTCCTCCTCCTTACCTTCACAGTAGGCGGGGTCTCCTTGGACAGAGATGTAACCACTCTTGCACTCACAAGTCGCTTTCGTATTCCAGTTTTTGCATTCTGAGTTTTCACCACATTTAGGCGCTTTCATGCAGAAGTTATGACCTGTAAGATGCACAGAAAACTTCAGATCAGGAAAGGAGGAAATAGAAGATCCCCAGATAACAAAACACAAAACATTTGTCACTACCTATCACAGTGCATGAAAACACATATTAGCAATGTGCAAAGCTGGGGTGGATAACGATGGAAAAGAGAGACAGGACTCTGGCCATCCTCATTGCTTAAGGGTTCTTTTTCCTGGATACTCAGGTTGATAAGGTCATTCCTACCAAATAGCTGTTACCCATGTTCATCCCAAATCCTCTTCCTATTACCTTCTTATATAATTAATCTTTATAACTGTTTTCTCATAAAACGTACAACACACACAAAAGATACAAGTATATAAAATAAACTGAAAATACTATCAGTATTCCTTGTTTATATCCATCCAATGAATCCTTCTCCCAGCCACCAGAGATAAGCATTGGATTTTGTGTTGATTTCTCCCTTTCACGTATCTATTATTTAGTCATACACAAGCTCTTATCCTCAAACAAATATCACTTAGCTGTGTACATTTTAGTGCCCATAGAAATAAAATTATGTTGTGCAAATCTATACGGTGTGCTTTGTTCTATTCATTCAAATTAATGCCTGAACGAATCAGTTGCCAATGCATAACTATTCTGTAGAATGAAGATTCCACAATTTATTTTGTGTTATTTTCACATTTTGAATTATAAACAGGATTTCTACAGACATACTTAAACATGTTTCCTGGGGAATCTTTTTAAAGCACATATTTACCGTGTTTTGTTCAATATTCCTTGCAGAATTCCTGCCATTCCCTTCAGAATAATTATTTTTCTTCCTAAGTATTCCTTAGAAAGTTCCTTTTGTGAAGATTTTTTAACAGTTACTATACTAGATTTTAATTCATCTAAATATGTCCATAGATTATCCTCATACTTTAAAAAGTTTTACTGCATATACTTTTTCTATCTCAATGTATTTAAGATATTATTTCACTCCTTATAACTTCTATTGATCATTAGGGAGTATTCAGTTGCTAATCCAGTTCCTTGATCTGTAGTTACCTCTTTTCTTTCTGTATACTTTGAAGACTGAGTTTTTGTTTGTTTCCTTGGTTTGGTTGGCTGGTTGGTTCACTGGATAGTGGGTTGTTTGATTGGTTGGCTGTTGGACTGATTGGTTGGTTGACTGATTTTGTTTGTATTCTTTAGTTTTATTTTAAGGACTATACTTGTACATTTATTTTTATTTAGGGTTTCTTGGAATTCTTGAGTCTTAGTGTTGAGCAACTCTTTCATCATTTAAGAAAATTATCAAATATTCTTTCTTCAAACATTGTCTCTGTGAGTGCTTCTTCTTGTTGTTTAGATTTTCTTTCATATAGTACATATATGTTCCTCTCTAGGCTGAGCTTTGTGACTTCCAGATATGTCTTACAGTTATTATTTCTATCTTGAGCTCTGCCACATTCTGTTTTAGTCACTGATATTGGTGGAATTTTCACTTACTATATTTTTATTTTCTAGAATACGGTTTGATTCATTTTTGCCCTGTTTAGTCAAATTTGATAGTCCCTTATTATATCATCTTTTAAGTTTACTAGTTTTTATTTTTGTTAAACACTTTATGCATGCATATTTTACATGAATAATTCCAATATTTTCAATTTGTATACACACAATCCTGTAATTTGTTGTTTATGCTAAGTGTCACCCAAGATGCTTTTGTGTTTTGAGGAATTCTTTTATTTGCAACCTCATATCATTTGGAATTTAATCTGAGACAATTACTTGAGGTTTTAAATTGCATTTCCACAGATAGTATTTGTGCTTGGTTCTATCAGTTGCCTTGGAATTATCAGCCTAAAACGAGTATAAACTACACTTTTGCCTTGGGGTGGAAATTAACCAAGAATACATTGTAGAGCTAAGTTTTTCAGAATGCAAATTTTCCCTTCTACACCACAGCCTAGACTCAAGGCTGACAGGCAGGTCTTCCCTTGCACAGTTAATTTTCTCCCAATTCACTCTCAGAGAGGTTTAGCCTTCAAGGTTCTTACTGAAGCCATTCACACTAGGCACAAGGTGTGCTGCCTCCTCACTGCGTCCATCAGAAGCCATGCCCCAAATCACACAAGACTAAAAGTGTTCTGAGAACAGATACCAACCCAAAGTATTTTAGTGTCATCAGAATTTTTCAATATATTTTGCCTCTAATTTCCCCCCTTACTCTAGTGCCCTAACCCTAACCCTAACCCTAGTCCTAACCGTAAACCTCACCCATCAAATTTCCAAAAGGAAATTGTTTACATATCATACAGCACTTTGGTGTGATCTAGGAGGAACAGGTTAGATGTACTACAAAAGTTTCAAAGTTCCATTGTGATATATCCAAAGGTATTTTATCACCTTTGAATTAGTAAACTTTAGCAAATAATAATTACTATGTAGAATCACATATTGTGTTGTCATAGAAACAAATAGATCTAGGAATCAAGACATGTCATTTGTAATTCAGAGTCTGCATCTGTAAATATTATAAATCATTTTGTTTATCTAGTTAAAGATCATGTTCTGGGAAAAGAAGAAAATCAGTGATTTTCAGTGCATTTTCCTCAGAGCCCTGGCACAGATATATTGTCACACAGAGTTCAACTCCCCTGTCCCAATTCAACAGAAGAGCTATGTTTCTGTGTTTTTGACATGTGGATTATGGGAACAATAATTTAGAGTTTAGAAAATACAGAAATTGCTGGACTAGAGAAACTTTCAAAATTAATTCATTTCCACGTGAGATTCTATCTTTGAAATAGAATTTTAGACCAACCACACTTAGGTTACATTTAATCTGGAAGATTAAAATACATTTTATTAAATATTACCAATACTGGAAGTTTTAGATGAGGATACTACTAGCATAATACACCTTATTAATATGTCACTGAGAAAGTTAATTACACTGATGCACAGAAACCACTAGGAACAGCTCCAGCTACACATGTATCCAGAGTCTCATCAGTAAACAGTGCCCACAGTGGGGAGGACAGCCATGCTAGTTCAGTAATGATGAAGTTCAGAACAATAATGCTATAATTTCGAGGTAAGAAAAGGGATGCTCCAGCCCTCATATTCACAACACCCACCTCACAGCAATGCCAGGGTTTTCAATCAGGTCTGGCTAAGCGCAATCTCTGTCTACTCCCAGGACGTCACACCCTTCTACCGCAGCAAAACTCAGCTGTTAAAAAGCGGAGAATGTAGCCATGTCCTGGACTGCTGGGAAATACACATCCCTGGTGGATGTGGTGTTACACCCAGCCTCATGTCTGTGAACTGCTAACTGCTGATTGCCCCAGTAACAAGAGGATTAAGAGGTTAACTTGTTAGCAATCCAAAGCCTCTAGCACTTGAGAACAATTCTACAAAGGCTCAAGGAGCTCATGACCAAGACCATGAGGTTTTTTTCACTACAAGAATGATTTTAGGCACTAGAGCTCCCTTTGCCCGAAGAGCCTGCCCTTCAAGTGCTGCATCAAAACTGATGAATAAGTAGCTCTCATATTTCTACTCATCATGAGACTGCAACCAGTGCCACAGGTTCATCTTTTCTCACACACGCTCTGTGCTGTATTTCTCTTGGCATTGTTTCTGGGTGACTTGAACTTTTCTTACTACATGTATCTGACAGCACGAGTAAATCTTTCCAAACACAACTGCAAACATCTCACAGCACCCACATTGTAACCCATAAACACGTACAATTATTGTCAATTAAAAATGATTTAAATATTCAAATTTACAGTAAGAAAAATAAAATATTTTCGAATGTACATCACTCTATCAAGCATGTGCCCTGTCCACTCACAATGCAAGGAGTGGGGAAAATTTTATCCCAAGGTCAGGGAAGGACCATGGGACAAACCAACCCTAAGAGCAAATCCTTTATCATGGCCCCCTTACCACAATGAGGGAGCAGCCACTCAGCCAGGTTTAAATAGGCATCCCCTTTGCGTATAAGCATCCGGAAATGCAAAGACATTTAAAATATAACCCCTGCCCATAGCTATATTACAAACTCTAGGAAGAGGTAAGTTACATGTGAGGAGGCATCAAAACCAGGCAATCTACATGGATTGAAATACAAGCAAATGTTCTCAAGTGTTTCAGAGACAGAAAAATCATTTCTGTAGGACACAAAACAATGCTATATAGAAACTTGAAAAAGGGCAGGACACAGATCCTCATGGGAAAAATACAATTTTAATCTTTGTGAAAAAGAAAGGATGAACTGGGGGAATCTTAAAGAATCTGGCACGGGTATAGTAATGAGCTTAATTAACATTTATTGAGCACGTGCTTTGAGCTCGGTAATCAGCTAAGTGTTTTACATGCATCATTCCATTTCATTCTGTTAACAACTCTACACAGCAGAATTAACAACCCTGTTTTACAGATGGAGAAACTGAAGTTCAAACATGCTGCTGCATGTGTGTAAGGCACGGAAAGTCATGAACCAAATCTGACTGAAGCCAGAGCTTTTAATCAATATTTTCTACTCTCTAGAACAATTGATTCTGAGTATTCCATCTAAAGGATAAAGACAATATCATTTTTATATGCACATATTCAAAGTCTACAAAGTAAATTCTCATTTTCAAAAAATTCTGTCTTTCTGCCTCTGTCTCTTTCTCTTTCTCCCTCTCTATCTCTGTCTCTATCTCTCTCCTTCTCCCCCTCTCTGCCATATCTTAAGAAGCATTACTTCAGTCACTCCAACTTCTTTGCACTAGATTTTCTGTCTAACTCATTACTCTTAACCAAAACCTCCCTTCACAGGGATGGTGCTGTGGATGATGATTTACAGGATGGGTGGACAAATGGGCAGACAGAAGTCTGCAAATTAAAGGCAGAACCAATGGATGGATGAAAACAGCAGGGACCTGCAATCCCCCATCATAGCCAACTGGAAGGCATATCTGTCTCGTGTGCTGGTCACCATAGTTCTGTCCTTAAAAACTTTTATTGAGG